CTGTTATGAGCAGGCACACTCCTCCCACCCCTGCCCCCAAAACAACGCCAGCTGAAGTTCACTTTCATAACCTACTTCCCTAATGCCAAAAATGGGGGGGGAGTCCGATTTGGGTTTTTGCTGCACTCAAAGCCTTTTTTCGCTAAAAGTCAGCAGTGTTTTCTTTTTAAAGAAAGCACGCATTAGCTGCTATTTAGTTGTATCTCCATGCACGCATGCAGCTAGATAATGTTGGCTGTGCGCGATAAGCAAACAGTCAGTTGTGGGGTGTCGACTGCGACTGTGTGCCTTCATTGCAATAGAAAAACAAACCTTAGCAAGTTTGCATACTCCTCCCCCTGAAAAAAATCAGAAAACTGTATTTTGCTGACATCTGGTGGGAGACAGCGTGAAGGACGGGAAAATTCGTGACCTGCAAGTCTGTGATACTCCAGGAAAAAGATTTTTAAAACAAATATATGAAACGTATACTATAAAAAACGGACAACTCATTATAACCTTTATTTCTCTTTTTAATGTTTACATCGACTGTGCTCAGACATTACTGCACTTGTGCTGCTTTTGCACAACAATTTGGCTTTTAATACAATCAGATGACAGACTTGAGCTCTAACATTTGACATCTTGTGCAGGTTTGTTCCTCGGGTGCTTTAATCCAAATCTTAAATGAAGAATATCTTTACTGTGTGTGTGTTTTGTTTAAGTAATGCTGCCAAGCCGAGCACGAAGCCTCGTTGACAGGATGCAGTCTGCAGGCTCTCCGGGTCCTGCCTCTGGGTCACATTGGCGTTAAAACAGTGGGATTATCCGTCAAACACGCGCACAGCATCTCTCCCCACCGGTGCGCCCTCCAAGCTCATTATGTAAGGTAAATCCCAAGTCAATGGTCATCTCTGCCTGTGTGAGTAGACTGTGTGAGCGCAGATCTAATTTAACAAAGTCCAATTAGCTGTCTCTGTTTTCACCCGGATCGTTGGGAGCAAAACTAAGGACCGTGTTGCTCAGTTAGGTTTGAGGTGTAAAGTGCCAGATATGGCTATGTGCTTTTTGTTTTGGTTTGTTTTTTTTTTCCTCTGCGCAGACTCACTGTGATGATGCTCTGAAAAGAGGAACGGCTATCTGCTTTTTAATCCGCGCAACATCCTTTCTCTGCGTGTGGCTGATGTGTCAGTATTCAAACGAATCTATAAATTTGAGCTCAGAGTGCGTTTTCGACTAGATTTTACTCACATAATCCAACTTTGGCATGACGGCTCTGCATCCACCCATCTTAAATTTAAACAGGTTGAATATCTCCTCCGGGTGACCCAGCGACTTCAGGATGTCCATGTTACTTCAGGTGTTCAGCGGTTACTCTGGCAGACTGACAAGATGTAGCCCCATCAGATATTCGCGTCTCTGAGATGCGGCAGCACCACCAACATGAGCGAGGACACGGTTTGCGGCCGGGAGCCTCGTCAGATCAACGGAGCGTCTGATTGGCTGGCGAGTCATGGGCTTAGAGGTTAACGTCCAATGAGCGGCCAGAGTTACTGGTGTGATGCCCCGCCCCGCCCTGGGATGTCAGTGGAGCCCAGCTGCTGATTGGTCCGTTAGTTAATCAAGAAAGAAACTGTCTGCTCAATGAAATCGTGATAATCCCGGCCAGGTCTGATACCTGTTGACTGTTTATACACAGCAGCACCTTGTATGTTATAAAAACAGAGGCACTGGTGAGTCTTTTTAACCAGGAAGCAAGTGTTGTAGCTCCAGTTAAGGTTCTCGGGTACTTTTAAAGCTAGAGATCATTCTCACAGCTGCTCATCCAATTTGCAGGTTGGTTGGGAGTTTCCATCCCTCCTGAAATCCACAATCATCTCCTTCTGTTTTCTTGACACTGATGCAGAGATTGTTATCCCATGCATCAAATCATCAATCGCTTTACCCCCATCCTGCAGTCAGACTCCTCATTGCTGGTGATGCATCCCACCACTATGAAGTTGGAGCATACTGAAACTACTGCGAATACAAAAATTGGACAAGGAAGCTGTCAGAAAATAAAAAATCAAAATCCGACATTGCATTCGTGTTGAAAATATATTTCCCTGTCAATTAAACGACGTGCTTGTAAGGTCATTTGCTCATTTGCAGCTAATGAAGGCCGCAAAGTCTAATCGTGCTAATCTGAACCGATTCATTGCCAAGTAGATCATCAACAGTTCAATAGAGGACACCTAATGGCCAAAGTCAAAACACGGTGAGCACACAGCCAAGTGTTTCTCTGCTCCTTTTTTAATTTAATATTTTTACATTTTCCCCTCATTTATAGCCTTTGTCTACAAACTAGACATACGCAATGTATGTATATAATATATATTGTTGTGCATATTTACAGCCAGCTGCCGACTGGCCTTCG